GCGAGGGGGCACAGCGGCGCCTTGCTCCGGGCGGCTCAGCCGGGCGCAGGATCCTCAGCCTCCCCGTGATCTTTGGTGTGTTGCTCTCCAGGCGGGGATCGGATGGCTGTCTGCTGCTGCCTTCCGCGGTGGACAGCGCAGCGAGCTGGATCGCGGGATCCCGGAACTGTTGATGACTTTTCTCTTTCCCCTCCCGCCTCTTTGCAGACCCGAGGGCAACTCTGCGCTGCAGCCTGACTCGCGAGTCGAACCGCTGAGACCAGCCATGGACCTTCGGCTGCGGGACCTGCGCCTTCAGGAGGAAAGGGAGTTTCTGGAGAGTGTGGTGCTACCCCAGCCAGGTGAGGCGATCCGGCTCGGAGAGGTAGGAGGGCTGATAAGCGGCCCCCCACCCAAAGCCCCCCACCCGCCCGGTCAGAAAGCAGGAGTGCCGCCGTGCTCGGAGGAATCGCAGCCTCGGGCCCTTTGCAAGCTTCTCCCTGGGTTCCAGACTGGCCTGAGGCAGGCTGGTGCCCAGTCAGGACATCCAAATTGCCCTTCCCGCGAATGAAAACGAGACACAATCAGGCACACTGATGCGCAGCTCCTATTCATTAGAATGGGGCTTGCGCAGGAGACTGTAGTAGGAGGGGGGTGTCAAATATAGCCTCCGGCCCCACATGTGGTCCAGTTCCACCTACCCTTGTCTCCAGCAATGAGGGCGTCTGTCCAGATTCCCTCTAGCACATTTGCCCCATTTTTAGGACTCTTTTTGGCGTTGGCAGAAACCTGTTTGTTCCGTCTTGACAGGGCGCTGCTTGCACCCATGATCCACCCCACTCTGTTCTGGAGGCTTTTCGGTTCTATTTCATTACCACTAGTCCTTTCCCCTCCAAGACACGTTGCTTGTTTCCACACCAAGGGGAACTCTGCAATAGTTCAACAGGTGTCCCCAAAGCTTTTTCTGACTGGTAGTCAGGAGCTTCCTCTTCTAGACAGTATTGCTGCCTGAGCCCATCTCGAGCTCCTAACAGCTGCAGAACAGAGGAAGCCTTGTTGACCACAAGCTCTGTGTCGGGCTGGGCTGCCTGATGCCAGGCTGGGCATCTTCCTGAAACGAACCATCCATTGCCATCAGCCCAGGTATCCCACCATGGATTCCTACGCAGTGAGGAAAATAATGCATTTCACTCATTCGCTTAATTACCATCCAGTCCTTTCTTCGGAGAAATGACAGTGGTCTGCCTGGTTTCCCCTTTATTTAATTCTCAGAGCGCTCCTGTTAGATGGGTTGGTTTGAGGGAAAAAAACAACTGACTCAAAGTTACTGCTGTATGTGGTTGTGTTCACACAGCACGTTTAAGCAGATCAGATAAAGACCGAGCAGATACTTTCACACAGCAAGCTACACTTGGTTTGTGTTAACCTTAGATTAGGGCTTTTTTGTGTGGGTGTGGCTGGGTGTTGTGGAAATCTAGCCCACATGATTAATTTACGGTTCAGTGTATTCTGCAAACCCAGAAAATGGATTAATTCAGTAAGCAAGTTAAGTGCATGCAGTCACTGCCCCTAGGTCTCTTCCCTCCTAGTCCAATATTTTAAGAAAACTTTCTTCAGTTAGGTATCACCCAGATTTGTTGGATAGCAGAGGATTAAGGTGGTTGAGAGAAAAAGGGAGATATTTAAAGATGTCAGACTGAGGCTTTCTTTCTTTTTCTTTCTCTCTTTGATCACAGTTAATATGGAGCACGCTACAGGGCCAATGAGTGAGAATGCTCTGGATCAGTCCCCGGTGGAAGAAGCCAGAAGGGGCAGTAGGGGGAAAGTCATTGTCCCTGAGCCCCTTATTACTGATGGTGATTGGCAGATGCCATGTGTCCCCAAATCCCCAAGGTAACAAATATTGTCTGCTTAAGTGGGATATCTGTTCTCAGGGTTACAAGCAGGAGACAGATTTTGGAACCCCAATCCCTGCTTGTGACGTGGGGATGCCACGTAATATGGTGGGATGGGGTGCGGGGAAGCAGCAGGAATAACCACTTGAGTATTTTTCTTCCCTTACCCCAGAGATGCCAGTCTAATTCTGGAAGCAGTTAAACGCAATGAATTCCTACGATGCCTGGGTGATGGTCAGAGCCAGACGCTAGTGGAGAGCTTCACTCCAGAGCAGCGCCAGCCTGGTGACATTGTAGTGGCTGAGGGCGATGAGGGTCATGCCATGTACATCGTGGCTGGTGAGGGGGCTAGGGGGCAGGTGTGGGGGGGCAAGAAGGGGTATTTGCCTACTTGGCCAGTTCCGCCACTCATCCCCACCTGGGTGATCCACAGCGGTGGCCCTTCTCTGTGCCCTTCCTTCCATGGCATTGTTTGCAACACTGTTAGTTCCATTCCAAACAGGTTCAGCTGATATTCTGTAAAAAGGAAGATTTTTCTTTCTGTGCAGTATTAATTCATTCTGCCCTGTCTTCAGATAGCTGATTGCTGCCTCTATGAGCACTGAAAAGCAGAGAGAGAAGACCATTTAATGGCATTTCCATCAAGGGAAGGAGAAATTCTTCAACAATTTCTCCACCTGGGGCTCAGGGCTTTTTTTCTTTCTTTGCCCTAAAATTATTTTTTGTTAGTTTTTGCTTCCAAATTGTATGTGTAGGCTGATCATCATTCTGTATTTTACAGAAAGTCCTGGAATTATGCCCTTTGAGGGCATTTTGTTTGCCCTTTGTGTGTGGGCAGAGATGGGAGTAGAATAGACAACGGTAATTGCCATCCCCCCCCCCCCAAATATGATAGGGTGCTCAGAGAAAATTCTATAGTGACCTTTTTCAAAAGGATGTGTGTAAGGAGAAAATGGCAAAACGTGAGTCTCTTCTCTGACAAATGTCTTTTGAGAAATTTAGCTCTGTTTTAGTATTTGGTGAGAGCACTGTCTGCTTTCTTTTCCCAAAGGCTCATGGTATTGGAAATTTACAGAATTTACCAAAAGTGCAGCATAGAAAGATGGAGGTCACTCCTGAACCCTCTTTTTCCATACAGTATATGATGATTTCTCAAAATGATGATCTGAGAGCTGGAAGACTCAAAGGAGAAGAGGGCTTGTATGAAATAACAAGATTCACATCACACTAAATTGTAATTTGGAAAAAAAAGTTTTAGCATGTTATATGATCTCAGAATTGCAGATTGTTAACTATAGTTTATGATACACAAATCCAGCCACTTGAGGTTTACTATTTAACCCAGGGTTAAGCAAGGACCCAGTCACTTGGAGAAGATGAGAATTTCTCTGAGCCAGTGTTGAGTACTTATTCTTACTACTTAGTGGTGACAGCCTGCTCTTGATAGGTATTCTTCAGTATCACAGGATCTGAAGTGCTTCCCATACTACGTTTGCTAAAAAGGAGCTTCTCCCAACCATGTCCTGCTCCCTGGCTGTTCAGTGGGAAAGCAGTTGACCACTTTGTTGCCAAGGAGCTGCAATATCATTTGTACTGCAGCTGTTTTCCTAATGCAATGGGAAGGTGAGGTTACATTTCCCTTGAAGTTTGGCAGGGAGGTTGAGCCCCTAGAGAAAATCAAGCAAAAACAAACTGTTGTTCAAAGAATTTTGATAAGGAGAAGGGAGAGGTGCAACTCTAGCAACTGACAGCATCTTCTTGCTTTCAGCGGAGGAGCGAAGTTGAGTTGAGAAGTAATGGGTGGAGAGAGGGGGAGGGAGACAGAGTGGAGACAGAGTAGAAAGGCTAAGCATGGAATGAAGGTACTACCACATTCCTTCTGCTTTTTGTTACCATAGACTAACAAGGCTCTCCTCCTGGAATGACATGGAATAAAGGGTTTCCTATTTCTTCTGTTACAGAGCATTTGTGAATTAGGTCTTTTTCATACAGCCTAGACACCCTTTTGAATTTGACTATTAATGGGATATTGGAGTATCTTAAACACGCCCTTGAAACCAGTTCCAACCCTTGTTAGCAGAGTCTTTTGCATTGTTTCATCAGTGCATGATGATAGCCAGTTAGAGAGTATTTTGAAGATGGGGCAGAGTCCTAGAGCAAGAGGAGAGGTAGAGTTCAAATGTCACATTATTGTTTGGTGTTACAAGTGTCAGCTAGTCCAGAACTTATGAAACTGGCAGCTGGGAATTTTCACTTGTTTCCCTTCATGTGGATCATTCAGCTAAAATGGGAGTGTTGTGGAAGCCTAATCCAGTTCACAAATTATGTGAACCAAACCATCATGTTAAGCAATAATATAGTTTATTTGTTTGGGCACACTGTCGTATGGAAACACAGCAATTGTAGACCAAGACCTTGATCCCAGCTGTGCCACAGGAGAACCAAAACTCTAATCAAGCTTTTATTAACTTCGCTTTTACTCCCTGGGGGACCATAGAAGTGCTGGCCACAATCCAGAAACCCTCCCACTCAAAGGAGCGAGCTTTAGGAAATGAAGGCCAGTGCCATAGAGGGTAAGGCTGATCTGTTTCATAACACTTCCTTGACTTTCGGACTCCATCAACAGAATTGGATAATCTATAGCAATGCAGGGCAGGTTGAGGAACAGATGCTCTGTGAACACCATAGATGTACAACGCAACTTCTCTGTATACTGATCCCAAGGATCTTTCTATCTTTTCTATCAGCCCAGTCTTGGAGTCTGCAGAAACAATACAGGAATATTCCTGATATCTGGAGTGATCAGCCTCATGCTTCAGAACTTTGTTCACCCTCCAGCAAATTGCTTACCTCATAAAATGTCTGTAAATATAAATTCTCATGTATTCTTGCAGGACAAGGCTTTCCTTGGGTGAAACCAGATGGATTTCTGCACATGCTTGTATGACTTTGCTGCAATGCTGTGTGTGGGCATGAGAAGAATTAGCGTTAATGGCAAATTATAGGAAGGTAGCATTTTACTAGCATGGCTAATAGCCATGGAAAGATTTCTTCCTCCTCCATGAAGCAGTTCAGCCTGTGTTTATCTTGGGTCAGGGAGTTAATTCCACAAGTGATGAAGCTGCAGGTGGCAATGACACATACTCATAGCCCTTATTCTCGTGTTCCAGAGGGGGAGCTCAGTGTGACGCAGAAGGGGCGCCATCTCCGTAGGCTGCTCCCAGGGGATGTGTTCGGAGAGCTGGCTGTGCTATACAACTGCCAGCGCACGGCAACTGTCATGGGTAAGGAAGGAATTGTGATTTGTGTCTGCTTGTCAAGATTCTCTGCCGCTTAGCAGCGGCTCCGAGTTTTATCGGCTACACCCCTGTTCATCAAAAAGTCAGCATTACTACCCCTGCGTCCACCAATTCCTGCATGTCCCAACAGCTTCATAGTTTCCTTAGGGTAAAAGTATAGTTCTTTTTGGCTCGGGTTGGTTTGGAAGCTAAAGGGGGAGGGGGGAAGGAAGAAATGGAAGAGAAAAAATGATAGCTATGGGCTCATGCATTCTTAAGAAAATAATGTTAAAATTATGGCAAAACAACAAAGTCCTGTGACACCATAAAACTGAACCAATAGGTTGTGGCAGAAGCTTTCACACACATGGAATTCATTTGTCTTCAGTTTGCTCAGTCTCATTTGGTTTGGCTACAAAAGACTATCACAATTATGCCTCTAGAATGTTATGCAATAATTTGATAGTAGTTACTCATAAAATTTAATGGCTGGGGAATATTTTCACCCATCTAAAATAATTAGCCTGAGAACCGAGAGAGGAAGCTTTTATATTCTACATAAAGTATTTTATATTTAGCATGACACGTCTAAGATCTCAGTCATCTCCCTCCTCCTTCCCCATTAACGATGAACAAGCCGAAAAGTGTAGCTTCCTATGCCGGGTATACTGACCACAAGAGGCAGAGACGATTCTGGCTTCTTGGACAGGGGAGATGGGGCAATTCTGGGACAGGAAGATGTTGAACCATGCCTTTTCCCACGATGCCCACTAACGGCACTCAGGCCTCGGTGTGTCCTGCCTTTGCAAGTCACGCTGGGCTGGGGCATTCTTGATTCTGTTGCTATGGCAATTGTACAATTGCATCCTCTCCCTCTACTTCTTGAACAGAAGCAGAATCTGCTTTTCTCTGTTTTCTTCCTGTGCGAATGGCCAGTTGCTGGTAACGTCGTCCTGTTGGGATTTGTTTATGCCATTGAATTTTGATGCTCTTATTTCAGAACCAAAACATTAACTTCGATACCTCATTTAATGAGCACTGGAAAAAAAAAATGGAAATACTACAGGGTTTTGGAGGTTATGTGCGTCAATCGCAATGTGCAAGGATGTTTCAGAAAGTTAATGGCAAAAAAGCTGCCCGCACTGCTTTTTGAAAATTGCAGTTTACTTCTGAGATACCCTTTCTAAAATGTGGCAGTTGTGCTCTGTGAGAGGTGAAAGAGTGTGTATTTTAAAACCACCCTTTTTAGCATTATATATAACAAGGGCTGCTATCAGGGGCCATGGCAGCAGTTTGCTCACTAGTATTGCTGATCGCAGTAAACAAACTCACTGTTCAGCCAGAAATTAAAAATGCTTGCCTTTTCTTTACTGCGAAATGTTGAAAGATTTATGGTGGAAAAGAACTAAGGCTAAACTATAGCGAAGCCCTCCTTCTTGGCTAATCCTAGCCTCCGTCTTCTCAGCACTCACTGTGGTGCAGTTGTGGGCCATTGACCGACAGATATATCGCAGCATCATCACTGAAAACGCCAAGCGGAAACGTGCTTTGGCCCTTGCAGGCTTGCGAGGGTAAGTAGCGAGCGGGCAGAGGGAGAGGAGGATCAAGAAATTAAAATGTTTGGAGAATGGGAAGGGAAAGAATAATGGAAAGCAACTTTTGCTCATCAGAGGTCAGGTGCAATAAGAATAAATAACTAAATGTAGCCAGGCCAGGTGTGTCTGTTACGGAATGAATATTCCCTTCTTGATTTCTTCCATGATTCCAAGAATGTGGTCTTCTGGGTTTTTGGAAAAAGAAGCAGTGGAAAGAGTGGAAGAAACAAGAACCAACATTACCTCTAAAGCAAGGTCTGAGTGGCAGAGCTGTTTGGGGCTTGAGGATCTGTGGCGCTGACTTTTGGGTTAAAAAAAGAAAAGAAGGGTGTCAGGAGTGCATTCTCCAACCACTGCTGGAGAACCGTACCTGGAATGAAGGTGTGGTGGGAAAACAGATTCCAGATAATATTCCAGATTATTGAGAGTCGTTTGCAATTAGGAGCGAGTCCTGGAACTCCTGTGTCATAGATTTCCAGAGCATTCCTTGTTGTGCTCTCTCTCTCTCTCTCTCTCTCCCCTTCTCTTCCTATTGCCATCCCAGGGTGAAACCTCTCCAAGGTCTGTCCGATGCTGCTCTTTCACAGCTGCTGGACTCTGCAGAAGAGGTAATTGCAACCATAATAAGGACTCTCTGTCTCAGAATTGGCTAGCATGGTGCAGGGAAGGGGGTAGCACTGGGATTGCCTCCAGCTCTTTTCAAGAGAATGAACACCTGTCTGTGCATTCTTGCAGCGCACCTTCACTCCCAATGAAGTCATCATCCAGGAAGGAGATGAGGGGAGAGCCTTCTTCTTCATTCTCACCGGAGAGGTGAGTCTCAGAATTGGTAAAGTAACAATGAAGAGATTTTGAGAAAGTGAAGACTTTCTCATCTTCACCATTAACTGCTCCCTACAATTAGTTTTCCACATGTGTAGGATGAAGGCACAAAGCTCCAAGTCAGGGCATGTGCCTGGCGAACAAGCTTAAGTTAGGACCCCCTCTTTTTAACAACCTTCTTACCCTGGGATGCACCTGATTGGACACAGGATTTCTCCGACATTTTGAGAGTTGTTTGCTAGAGAGCTGCTGCTTTCCTGCTCCTTGTGATTGCTTTGGGAGATCCTTCCATAATCCCAAGCAAATTGCTGATGGAATTTCCCCTGCCTACATCTTTGGCCTTCTGGAATATCTATTATCCTTCTCAGAATCAGAAAAGGCAGCACACAACATAGTAATATAAAAATGCCCTAAGCTTGAGTTCAACTCTTAATGATTTCATGGACCCAAGTGTTCTTAGCAACAGTGCAGAAGTGGTTTGCCAAACTAGGCTAAAATGGGGTTTGGTGGTTTGTGGCTCAGCATGTTGCAGAAACCTAGTCACTGTCTTAGCGTGTTGTGAAAACCAAGCCATCACATCAAGCCATTATATTGTTTTGTTTCTTTAGGCATAGCATGTTATATGAACACAATAGTTGCATTTTGTCAACCCAAGTTTAGAGTTTAGTGTGTTTTTGAACCTAGCCAGCCTGAGCTTTTCTACCCTTTTCCCATCAGTTGTACCTATTTCAGTAGGTGGTACAAAAGTAGCTTGCCCTGTCTTGCTGCGCTCCAAGTGCCAAACTGGGGACCAGTCCCCTCTTTCCCTCCTGCCATGCTGCCTGGTCCTTATTTCTTTCCTGGTCTTTGCAGGTTGAGGTGACCAGGAATGTGGATGGACAGGAGGAGCACATCCGAGTGCTAAAGGCTGGAGACCACTTTGGGGAGCTTTCTCTCATCCGGTAAGTGTGGGACACTGGCAGGCTTTGTACACTAGTTGATTCAGATGCCCACTGGAGGTGACAGAAATATCTTAATATCAAATGTGAATATTGATGTAACTTTTTGCTAGACAAAGGGGATAGCACAGAGAAGTTGACTAGGCTGAGAGGCCCTCATGGAAGATCCAGGTGGGTCGAGAGCTTTGGACATGTATCCCACTGAGCCTCCTCCATGAACACTTGCAGGAATCTTCCCTTGATCCAGATCAGTCTTCTCAGGAAGGATCCCTTTTCTGGTGTATTTTTGGATGAGGACTTATCAGTACACCTTGGACTGTTTTTCTGCTTTGGGTTGCAGTCTTGTTAATCAGAGATGGCAACAGGGTAAAGTATTAATTAATTTTCTTTCTTATCCATTTTTCCACTTCTCCACACACGCAGCAACATCCGCCGGACAGCCAGCTGTCGAGCACAGGATGAAGTAACTTGCATTGCAGTAGCTAAGGAGTAAGTGTTGTTGACTTCCTGCATATATAATGTGAGAGGGAACCAAGATGGAGCCCGAGTGTGCAAACTTGCATCATGTGGTCAGAACTGGCCTTAAAAGAGCCTATATTTTCTCTCTAGGGTCAGAACTTCAGAGTCAAACTCCCTGAAGTAGTATTATAGAGGCTACTTCCAACCCTATCTGCCTCATTTTCCACTCGGTAGAAAACATCCACTGATGATGGGCTGATAGGGTAGGGAAGGGGGAAGGTGACAGAGCTCCAGAGAAGCAAAGGCACTCAAGAGCAGTCCAACACCTCACAAATCAAAGAGGGCACAGAAGCCCAGCTATAGCAAATGCCCAGGGTGCTTGTGGGGAGCCTTTGGGCGAGCTTGTTGCAGCCGAAGTGTGGACTAAGGGCATTTCACCAAGTATCTGGAAGATTATCTTCAGTAGGCATATTGGATGCAGAGGGTACAAAAATGGTTAGTAGCTGTGAAACACAAGAGGGTTGAGCATTTTTATGTCAGGCTGCAGTGCAAACACAGGAGTCAACAACTTTGTAGAGAGCTCAAGAGTCACATGGAAGGGGCTTTTCTTCCTTGGTTTGAGGTGGACATTTAGAGGTCTTCTTTGCTTTTAAAACTATTCTAGGCTTATTGTAGAGCTTACCGTATAGATTTCACGTGCTTCCTTCCTCAAATGCTGAGAAATTATGCCACCAGTTTTCAGCAGTGGTCAAGGAACACTGTGGGAGCTCCAAAAAGGAGCTTGCAGGAAGCCCAGGTGGTACTGGGGCCATAGTTACCCACCCAGAATACAGGTTAAGGACAATCTATGGCTGTTTACTAACTTGCACAGCTTTACATCAGTGTCTAAAATTTCTAATAACTGTATAATAATTTTTTAACAAGATGGCTCTCTGCTTAGAAGATTGCTGTCTAAAACACAGTGGCTGGGTTCTTACAACATGCCAGGCTAAAAAGGGTTTAGGTAGTTTGTACTTCAGACTATTGTAGGAATCCAGATTTTGAAATGAAGGGGGGTGGGGGTGGGGGTGGGTCAACAATTACTTCCACTACTTGCCTCACAAGAAGGATAGAGTTGGCCGTGGATTATGATTGGTGTATGTATTCCATGTTTGAAATCAATATTCAAATAGCTTATACTTGAATAATGTGTGTATGGCAAACTTGTTTTTAATGTAGCTTTTTTCCATTTTATTATGTTGCTATAAATCTTAGTACATTGTGTTGTTTCCATACATTGTTTCCCTTCATTGGTGTTTGTGTAATATGTTTAAAAATTACTAACATTATATTATTTAATAGCTTAGAATATTGAGGATAGAAAAGAGAGAGAAAAATATTCTATCAATGTTAATTACAATTTAGGATGGCAATATAACAAGCATAAAATTATTTAGCTTTTTCATCCAAAGTTGAGTATAACATTGAAAAAGAACCATTACAACTGACATCAAAATAATTGTTATATACAATAATATACTACTACCTGTAATTTCAGTCTTAAGCTGATTACTTATTAAAGTCTCCCTTGCATTGTTACTTTGTGTGCGTGTGTGTGTATGTGCATATTTATAATACCTATTAATAAAAGGAACAAGTAGATAGAGCAAATTTAACAAGAATTAATTATCAAAAAAAGAGAAAAAAGAAAAGGAAAATAATAAAAAAAATCTATTGGGTTTCTGACTCCCCCCATCCTTTTTATACATCTACTGATTTGCAATATTTGTAGACATTTAGGCCCCCTTAGAAACCAGATTGCAAGTGATTATATTTGCCATGCTGTGTGATGTGTTTCAAATCGCAAGATCTGAAACCAGTTATCAAGGGAGACGCTGAGCTTCGCTTTTCTTGATGAGTCCAAGCAGAGGCTGAACAGATGTTTCCTGGGGATGCTTTAATCTGAATTCCTGCACTGAGAAGACAGTTGTCCTAAGTGGCAACTCTTCTTATAGTGGGGAGGGGGATATGGGGGCCTGGACATTTTTCCAAATTGAATTTTTACTAATGTCTCCTGACTCCCCTCCCTCCCACCAGGGATTTCCAGGAGCTGAGCCCAATGTGCGTTCGTGAACCGTAAGTATTTGCCTGCTTCTGGGGTGGGTTGAATGGGGTTCTGCATTGTGATCACTAAGGCAATTCAACAGAAGACACGACTGCACCACCAGATTGCCCAGTCATAGGTATGGGCTACCAACTGTTTTTGGAAGGCAGAAATGGGCAACACTGTCCTCTACTCATCCAGGCCCACTGCAAGTGTCCTCCATCCATCCATGTTTTCCTACTCCATTTTTCCAATTTGTGCAGTCGCAGGCTTTGCTATCTGATTCGCCTCCTGTGCTTTACTTTCTTCTAGGCTAGTGTTTCTCAACCTCGGTGACTCATGCTAGGTGGGGAATTCTGGGAGTTGATGTCCACACATCTTAAAGTGGCTGAGGTTGAGAAACACTGCTCTAGGCAACTTGCACTTTGATGGACTACTACGTGCAGTGACAGGAATGCCCTTTCAGCTAGCTTGGTGGTTGCTGCTCTGCAACCCTCTGCTGTATCTCCTGTTGCCAGTGGTCTCCCAGCAACATTTCCCTGATATCAAAGGGTCACAGGTTCAGAAACTGGCAAAAATATATTTTTAAAATGACTTCTTTCACTGAGCTACCCACTTTTCCACTAGGCTTTTTTTTAAAGTTCACTAGTGCACCATTGAAACGCTGCAGCTCTTTTTTTCTTTTTTCTTTTCCTCTTTTCATCCAGTTCCAAATAGCCCATGTGAATAAGTACTGTGAGGTCCTTATCTGGAAGCTGGTATGAAATTTTTCTTCTTCTAGTAACAGGAAAAATTATGAAACAGTGTACTGGTGAACTTGCTTGAAAAAAAGGCAGTAAATTGGGTGGCTCAGGGAAAGAAAACTAATAATTAAAAAAATTCTGCTGGGTTTCAACCAGTGACCCTCTGCATGTCAGAAAAATGTTATATCCATCTCACCTGAGAGGCTCCTGTAACAATAACTGCAACAGCAACTATTGAGCCAAATTTAGGAAAATGGAAGACAGGAATTTTTCATTTTAAAGATGCCTGGATTCATCTGCATTTGAATGTTTTAACTTTGTATACATAAATTTAATTTAATTTTACAAACATGCATTTCTATATATGCATATAAAAGTATATCTGTTCAGGAAGACCTACCCACAGAAAGGAACATAATTGGCAATTGTTTTCCTGGCACAGAAAATTGAGAGGACTCAGCAGTAGGAATACTGTCTATTATCATGAGAGATGCCAGTGCAGAATGAACACCCAGCAAGTTGCTGGTGAAGCATCACAGTCCAGACAGAATTTTCTTATATCAGCTTAGGGCCTAACTAGCTTCAGCTTGGGATAGGAGCAGCTTAAAGGTGCAGCATTGGTATGCCCAGAACCACCAGGTAAATGCTACTATTATCCTCCTATTTTGTGAGAGATGGGTGGCTATATAAATGTGACATATAAATAACTAAATATTTTCCACCCAAGTCTCAGCCCCAGGACCTGTGTGCGGAAGAGCCACATAAAACGGATTCTATAGGGTCTTGCAGGATGGATATTTTGTAAAGATGAAACAATTTGATTTTTAAAAATATAGTCTTATATAATGATTCTGAAAGTGGGAGCTAGTTCCTATTTTTTTATTTGCATGGTAATTTGAAACAGCATAGTTAGTAAACCAAATTAAGTCTTAAAATGTCTAACACACTGCACATAAGAAATGTCTGTTTTTGCCCGGTGTTTATCCTGTGTGATGCTTTTCCTTTATTGACCACTGGGAGGCAGTACGTAATCAGTTATGCACTGCCTTCTAGTGGCCAATATAAATAAAATCACAATAAGCTAATAATCCTCCTAATTCTGTATCTTATGTACAATGCACCGGTAAGGGCCTTTAGCTGCTCCGGTGTCGAAGTAGTGTTTTTTTCCTTTAAACAAGCAACAAATCACACTAGTGTTACCATGGATGCATTCTGACGTCTTGACTATTTGGTTAGTGTCACAGGCAAGCAATCTATAGGGATGAGATCAACCTAAGATTGGTTGGCCAGTTTAGGCTGCTGTGGGCATGCTTTCTCCCATCTGGCCTCTGGGCGTTGTCTTTCTGGGTCATTCTGCTTTGGGTAACACAACTGGCCAGCAGTGGTAGAGCTGTGCAGAGAAACGAGAGAGATTTCTCTTCTAGCTGCTTTGTGTTCTGGCTAATCCATGTCTCTGAACCAGGGATTAGCTCAGGGGTCTGCCAGGTATGATGCTGAACTCATATACAGAAGGGGCCGATGATCATCTCCGGTTTGGTGCAAGGGTTTGGCATGGGTGCAATCAAAGGAACATGGGGTTAGTGCTATTTGAGAACAGCACTATTCCGAAATAGTGTTACTCCAAATAACACTAAACCCTTGTCCAAATGTTCTCTGATGTCAGCTGATGTTTAGGCTTTCTTCGAATGCATCCATGCAAAACTGCACCAAACCAGAATGAGTTTTGACAGAGGACTAAGCCTACTCATCTAACCATCTGTCAAAATTTCCCTCCTCACCTATCATCCCATATTAAGCAGAGTGATTGGTGGATGTTTTCCCACTGGCTGCTAACATATGGAGGGAGGGGAGGGAAACGAAGATGGAGGAATTCATCAATCACTGTCCTTAGTGTGCTCTGTACATTGTAAATTATGACAGCACTATTTGCTGGCACTGTGTCTGGAGTAGGATCAGGATAGCCAGTGGGGACAGCAAATCTTATGCTGGTATTTTTCTGTTGGCTCAGGGACAGGTGATAACACTTTAGAGTCCTAAGTGGGACTCTGCATTAATTATCATCCCAGTACCATGGGTACAAAATACGGTTGATTCCCATGAAGATGATTTCTGCTGTTTTGTTGTGTTTTTCTTGCTGCCCAATTACGCAGTCCTTGCTGCTTTTTTATCATTGTAGTATTGTTGTTGTTTTATAGTTTTATATTTTTTGTGAATTAAATAGAGTCATTTCAGAGTAGGGCAATCTACAAATGGAATTAATCTATTATTTAAATAAATAATTGAGAAAATGCCTATGAAAAAAATGCAGAACTGAGCATCCTGTTTGATAGTATCCTGTGCTTAAACAAAACTTGACTCAGTGATCTTGTGAAAGACATTTCTCTTGCAGTTATGACTATCATTTGGGTTTGTTCAAAATATACTACATACTAGCTACGTTCACAAAACATGATTAACCAAATCATTTAAAGATCAACCCACTGCATTCATTTAACATGTTACGCATGTTTAATTTCAAACAACCTTAACATGTTCATTTGTTAGGTTCATTGTTTTGCTGGGGATAGCTTAGCATGTATAATCAGGACATGATAATTTTTAATTTTTCTCTCCTCCTTCCTCCATTCCTACTGAAAGGCCCAGTCCTTTAGCTGGGATCTACTAGGTGATCTTCCTTCTATTCTATGAATTAAAAATGAGGGATGCTTTATTTCTGCCTGAAGCGTTGGGCTTGGAAGTTCTTTTTTCTTGCCAAATAAGAGCACAAATTAGGTTCCTTTCTTCTTGAGTTATTGTGGAATCCTAGAGTGAGAGGATCTGATTTTGCCTCTTCCTGTGGTTTCTGCTGATATAGATTTTATCTCAGGCTTCAGTCCGAGAAATGTTGCTTATTCTTGCTTTGGCAAATTCTTGCTCCCATTCTGAGAAGCTCCTCCACACCCACCTGCCCGGCATCTATGAGAAGACACCCTGGGAATGGATTCTTCAGAGTTGAAGAAGGACAATATAGATAACTATAAGAGGGTGGGTGGCTCCATTGGCCCTAGAGAACCCTCTGTGTGTGTGAGTGTGTGAGAGAGAAAGGAAGGAAGGAAGGAAGGAAGGAAGGAAGGAAGGAAGGAAGGAAGGAAGGAAGGAAGGGTTTTATTCTATTAATGTCTTCTTTTTCTTCTTCTTGCCCACCCTCCCAGAGAAGTCATGGTACAAGAGGATCTCCCTCTTTCTGAAACTAGGAGGTCAGTATTAAACCTTCTTTATGAATATACTGCTGTGTCATTGCTGGGTATCAGCTGCTGGTGCTGATTCATGGAAAAGGAAAGTGGTCAGGTAAGGGTAACCTTATTTTCAGTTCTCTGCCCAGGCTGAGAGCTGACAGGGCAGATAAAACCCTGCTTGGTTGGTTTCTGCACTGATGCCAGGCCCTGGGCTGCTGTTGCCATGGCTTGCCTAGCAGGCATCCTGCAAATTACAAAAACCAATGGATGGCAACACCTCAAAGTTCCTGATTTTTGTTTAAGTCCAACCTTGTTGACAATTTTCTCAGGGGCTATTTATCCTGCCGAAACAGCAGTTCTTAGCCCTTGTCTTACAAAATTCAAGGTTTGCCCAATGAAAAGACATGTTGGGATTTGTCATGTTTTATTGCTTGTAGCCTCCAGAATTTTGTCAAAATTCTGCCTTTTTCTTGCCAGTTCCAGCCATTTGCTAATGCTCTGGTTTCAGTTCAGGGGGTGGTGAGTAATCTAGAGGTTGCCCTAGACAACAGTAGTAGCAGCAGTGAAGTTATTCAGAAAACCAGACCTCTGCCAACATTCCACTTGTCTTGTTGAGATCAGCAGACTACATGAGCATGGCGGTACTTTTTCCCGCTCTTCAAGGAAGCATCATGGCCATATCTGGAGCATTTTCCCAGAGTGTGAACTTTATTTTTTGTCCAACTCATAGGATTAAATAGCAGTAAATAAGAATTGTAGGAGCAATTTTAGGGACAGAAAATCCTGGAAGCTCAGGTGCCTTCATACATTGCTCTGAGGAATGGTCATTAACCCACACAAGTCAAAAGTTGGTAGGTTGCAAGTGGAAAGCAGAGATGCCAATGGCAAAAAAAAGGGATTTAAATGCAGCTGTCTCAGTTAAAGAAGTCAAGCGATACACGATAACCAAAGGCAAGAACCGTCATCTCTATGCGGCTCCAAGACCCTGGAGAAAATGCATATACTGATCAACTGTATTGAAATACAAGCAGTGCGGGGACTCTTTATTGGATGAGGCTACCCTTGCTGAACTGAACCAAGATGAATCTATTTTATGGCTGGGGAATCATTTTCTTTTGAGGCTGCATTTCTGTGGGAGTAATTTGTTACCAATGGTGGATGAGACTGTGGGGAAGAGTGGGTCCAAATTGATTCTCTGCAAAGGATATTTGCAACCACGGTTGCTACCTGAAATTAGGCAAGGACCATATATGGTTCTAAGATTGCTGGTAGCCCACCCTGGTCTATCTAGCCCACCAACTTTTTTCAAAAAGCAGTCACCCAGATGGTTCTCTGAGATGTCATGCTGCCTAAAAATGAAGGTTTTATTTAGCATTAGGTTCTCAGTGGAACGCCATGCCATTCATCATTCCATCTCTAGTCGAGGTTCCAGAGGAAGGAAGATAGATAGCCATGCATGAGAGATTCCTGACTTAAGTAGTCAGAGCAGTTGCTGGGTTTTATGTATTTGTCCTGCTGCTAAAATAATACCTCAACTTATATTATTTGGATGGCTGTTTAATATTATTCTTCACTTTGAGAACTCTTGTGGGTTGAAAAGCTGATAATAATAGATAAATCAAACTGAGGCGTCTAATTAGCAGGTATTTCAGAGATGACAAATGCAGATTAGCAATGACTATTTCCCCCTCCTGATTTGAATGAGGTAGGAGGAGCTGGTGACTCCAGAAACTTGTGATAGATTCCCTGTGCCGTTGAGAATAAGGAGACTTTTCTTAAGTTCATAGAGTTCACAATCATAGAAGTGGGGCTTCTCTATGCTTATAGAAGGTCATGAAGTTTGCAGTGTCAGGAAAGCATCTCAAAGTGAGCAAAGGCATGGACAGAAAATGAGCAGCTTGTTCAGCGTTCCAGCAAAAGGGTCAGTGGGGTGTAGGAAGTTTCCTAAACCCCAAATTGTGCCGTGGCTGGGTCTGAAGTACATTCTAGACCAGTGTTTCTCAACCTTGGCCACTTTAAGGTGTGTTGGATTTCAACCCCCCCAATACCTCCCCGCCAAGGGAAAGAGAGGGGGGAAGGGGGGGGGGGGGAGAGACCAGGCCAAAAGGAGGGCGGGGGGGAGAGA